GAGTAGCTGGAAATTATTTGGAATTCTGATGCATGGGAGACTTGTCCCTTTCCTCTAATTTATTTATTCAATCATTTAATTATACCAGTATTGACCTGTGGATATTTATTTTATATTTGTGTTATAATTCCATATAATTTTATTTCATTGCTTATATGCTTCCAACTTTGGCCATTGGGAACTCTTTCAGTTGACTCCCGTATCCTTTGACATAGGCCTATAATTATATTTTTGTTTGAACACTTCTTCATTTATTGGCACTACAATATTGGTTCATTTTCATATTTCCTGTCCCCTGAAATACATAATCCTTCAATCATTCCTAGAATTACCCATTTCTCTAAGGAGCCCTGGTTCCTTCTATTGGAGAATGGTATTCCAAGTCAATGGCACTAGATGTGTTTTACTTATATTTTAATCTATATTCTGCAATTCCTTGACGTTTAAAATAGGATGCATTTTAGAAATGAAGAGTGTGGGCTGTGGAGTCAGTTGGATCTGGGTTCAAGTTCATGACCTGGCACTAACAGCGTGATCTTTGACAGTAGCTAATCTCCAATGAGTTTTAATACCTGTGTTGATACAGTGGGGCTCCTCACGGCATAGGTTTAGTAGGCTTGTTCTGAGGATCTTTCTGTGAATGCTCCCGAGATGCTTAACAGAGTGACTGGCTCATCAGGGCCCAGGAAATGGAGCTGAATTACAATTTAAACTTTCCTTGATGACTCAGAGTCTTTAAGGAACAGCCACTATTGTGATGTGCTGTTTATAGAGGAGTCACAGCTGGTGAGGCAGAATCAGGGTAAAATGAGCATTCACCCCCTCGGAGACTCTAGAGCCCAGCATCCCAAAGTGCTGCTTCCTTTTGGGTCACTAAAACTTTCTCATAAATTTGGAGTAATTCAGGATGGCCACGAGGTCTCCAAGGTAGTATACAGTTATTCTTTTCTGCTAATTCAAGCAGTGCTCAAAGCCCCATGCTGCCTCCTTCTGGGTGCCTCTCATAGTCCAGGAAGTTCTTTTCCTCCCTCTTCTTTGTGGTCAATTGTAACCCCATGGAAAGCATGGCCTTTGGCCAGGTGTAAGTGTTACATGTCTCTAATCCTAGCACTCAGAAGACTGAGGCAGGAGAATTGAGAGTTTGAGGCTACAAAGCGAGACAAATCAAAAGCAAATCAATCCCCCCCCAAAAAAAACTTTTGGGTTTTTCATCACTCACATATGAGACCACATCTATCCATTTCTGAGATTTCATTCTCCTACTCATTTGCACAGATTAGTGACATGATGCTTGCTACTGTGTTTGTGGTTGTGGGGAGGGAGGTGGTGGCTTCCATATGTTCAGCTGAATTCCAGGCCTGACATCACTAATATCCTTAATATCACTGCATCCTTAATATCATAATAAAATGTCAAGCTTTGCACACTTCCTGCCTGGGGTTCCACCTCAACACACTCATGTTGAATAACCCCCCACATTTTTTTTTCTCTTTCTTTTTTTTCTATTGTTTTATTATTCATATGTGCATACAACGCTTGGGTCATTTCTCCCCCCTGCCCCCACCCCGTCCCTTACCACCCACTCCGCCCCCCTCCCTCTCCCCCCACCCCCTCAATACCCGGCAGAAACTATTTTGCCCTTATCTCTAATTTTGTTGTAGAGAGAGTATAAGCAATAATAGGAAGGAACAAGGGTTTTTGCTGGTTGAGATAAGGATAGCTATACAGGGCATTGACTCACATTGATTTCCTGTGCGTGTGTGTTACCTTCTAGGTTAATTCTTTTTGATCTAACCTTTTCTCTAGTTCCTGGTCTCCTTTACCTATTGGCCTCAGTTGCTTTTAAGGTATCTTCTTTAGTTTCTCTGCGTTAAGAAGCAACAAATGCTAGCTAATTTTTTACGTGTCTTACCTATCCTCACCCCTCCCTTGTGTGCTCTCGCTTTTATCATGTGCTCAAAGTCCAATCCCCTTGTTGTGTTTGCCCTTGATCTAATGTCCACATATGAGGGAGAACATACGATTTTTGGTCCTTTGGGCCAGGCTAACCTCACTCAGAATGATGTTCTCCAATTCCATCCATTTACCAGCGAATGATAACATTTTGTTCTTCTTCATGGCTGCATAAAATTCCATTGTGTATAGATACCACATTTTCTTAATCCATTCATCCGTAGTGGGGCATCTTGGCTGTTTCCATAACTTGGCTGTTGTGAATAGTGCCGCAATAAACATGGGTGTGAGGTGCCTCTGGAGTAACCTGTGTCACAGTCTTTTGTAATCCCCCACATTTAGAAGAATATTTGCCTTTTAGGATTAACCAGCCGCATAGGAAGGAGGGACAGAAAGGAGACACTTGAACTCCACTTTGCTCAGTGTGAGTTCCGTTATGTAGCCTTGTTAATTTTATGCCTTCTATAGTTGTGAAGTTATTTTTCCATCAAGCTACAAAGAAATGGTCTATACTGAAGGGGAAAAATTATCCAATAAACAAAGATTTTATTTTAGGGAAGACTGCAACATTGGCACACCAAATTTTTGTCCTTAATCTGATTAAACTTTGGGATCGCAGTAAGCATTTCCGTATTCTCTTTTTGGTGGCACTGGGGTTTGAACTCAGGGCCTCATGCTTGCTAGGCAGGCCTCTACACTTGAGCCAGTTTGCCAGCTCACAGTAAGCATTTCTGAAAAGGACTTTTATTTGTAGCTGAGGGAACAGACCACCCTTGGAATTTTCTCTGCATCATGGTACCCACAGCATCACCAGAATTGTGCTTTTACCTTCCAGTTCTACATTTTCTTCTCCTCCCTCTCTCCCTCCCTCCCTTCTTCCCTTCCTTCCTCCTTTTCCTCTTCCCCTTCCCTTCCTTTTCTTTTTTTTAGAACAGGGTTTCATTATGTAGCCCAGGCTTGTTTGGAATTCCCAATCTTTCTGCCTCTGCCTCCCAAGTGCTGGGATTACAGATGTGAACCACCATGCCTGACTCCATACTGAGCTGGTTAACTCACTTCTGCTGATAAACCTGTTGGGTTGTCTATGAACACTAGATTTGAAATACAGCAAAGCAGGGCTCCTAAAAGAACAAAACTAACTTTTGTTTAATTTGCCATTTAATGACGTTTGGTAATATCCTCCTGTTTGGTAATATCCCAGAAATGTTTTGGGTTTACATTTTGAATCTTTTTAAACTCTGGATATAAAGGTGGGTGGGGCAGGAAATAAGATTCCTGCCATGATCTTTTCAGAGCTTAGAGCCTCAAGGTCTTGCCACAGTCCTGCCTCTGACCTTCTCACCTGGAACCACTCAGTAACATGTGGTCCAGGGCTGACAACTAATTGTGAAAGTCCACAACTTAGGTGATTCGTCACTTTCAGGAAATGTGAGCAGCTTCCTTCACTGAGAGGGAAGAAGGACCCCTGTTGCATTGTGGGATGTGTAGGTAATTTGCTCTCACCCCTTCTAAATCACACAGGCTGGTGAAATAGTGGGGAGGTAAAAAACAGTGGTAAAAGTGGTTACGTTAAGAGCCATGCTCTGGGCCAGGCCTGGTGGCTCATGCCTGTAATCCTAGCTACTTGGGAGATAGGAGGGGGTTCAAAGCCAGCCCAGGCAAAAATGTTAGTGGCACCTTATCTCAAAGAACAATCTGGGAATGGTGGTATCTGCCTATAATCTCAGCTACTTGGGAGGCATAGGTAGGAGGATCACAGTCTGAGGCCAGCCTGGGAAAAAGCAAGACCCTGTCTGAAAAAGAACTAAAGCAAAAGGGGTGGTGGTGTGGCTCAGGTGGTAGAGGGCCATCCTAGCAAGCACAGGGCCCTGAGTTTAAACTCCAATACTGCAAAAGGGAAAAAATAAAAAGATCCAAGCTCAATTGAACATTGATCACTGGAAGATATGATTCTTTCTTGTAAGATTCTTGACAAAATTCCTAGTGGGAAGCAAAAGGGGCTTGGAAAAAGGACTGGACTGGGAACCTGGGGCTGGCCTGAGCATCCATCGTATCTGCTGCTAGAGAGCAGAGTGTGAATTGGAGCATCCCCCAATCTTCTCAGACAGTGTCTCTTTCATCTGTAAATGAGGAGTTTGGGCCAAGTGTTCCCCCAAAACCCTGTTGCCTCTGTTAAGTGCTTTTTTAGAGGGAAAAGGAAAGTCCATGTCACAGACCAGGTATGGCAAGGGGCACCTTACAAATAATACTGTGTAGCTCAAAGCATTAATTGGACCAGTTTCCACTTACATGAATGCATTGTTTATATTAACGTGACAATCATGACACGAGTTACCAATTACTAAGGGTTAGCATGTTACACGCAAAATTGAATTATTTCTCAGAAAACCCAGATAAATATTGCCATATGTTGCCATTTACAAAAGAGTAAACTGAGGCTTAGAAGACTTAAGTATTCAGCAAAGGTTACCCAGCTGGACGCCAGAGCCAAGAGTCTGACCATCTGAACCCATCTGACCATCTAACCACTGTATTTGGGACAGGTTCTGGGTCAAATAGAATTGTCTGTTTTGAAATTCTGACTCTGCCGCTAAACCTTGGCAAGTTACTTAATCTGCCACCCTTGCAGTTTTTCTTTAGAATGGGCTACTGGTGGTATTTACCTTATAAGGAGGCTGGTGAGGCTAAAATGAGTTTGCCAGGCTTAGAAGAATGCTGGCTGTTGCCACTACTGTTATTATTGTTGTCATCTGAGCTGTACCAGCTTGGAGGGGGAGGAGTGGCAACAGAGGCTGGGGAGTAGGGCCGGTGAAGCAGTTGCTTCTGCAAGGATCTAAAAGCAGGATGTGTTTGGACAAAGACAGAGCCTGGGATGGCGGGCTCACCGACCGTAAGTGGGGAAAGAGGTCAGACAGGTGTGCTGGACAGACAGTGGGAAGGGCTGGGGGTGCCAGGCCCCTGTCTGAGTGGTGTATCCCGCAGGTAACGGGGAGCCTTCTAGAAGGTACAGGCATGTTAACAAGCATCTGTGCTTCCTCCTTACCCAGGGGTGCCCCGAAGATACGACATCCTCATCGTCTACAGCCCGGACGCGGAGGAATGGTGCCAGTACCTCCAGGAACTCTTCCTGTCCAGCAGGCAGGTGCGCAGCCACAAGATGCAGCGGCACCGGCTGGGCCCCGACGCGTCCTTCTCGGCGGAGGACCTGCGCCTGTTCCTGGGCGCCCGCTGCGTGGTGGTGCTGCTGTCGGGGGACCTGGTGCAGCATTTCTACCGGCCGGCCCTGCTGCCCCTGCTGCAGAGGGCCTTCCACCCCCCGCGCCGCGTGGTGCGCCTGCTGTGCGGGGTGCAGGGCGCCCAGGACGACTTCGTGCACTTCTTTCCCGACTGGGCCTACTGGCAGGAGCTCACCTGTGACGATGAGCCCGAGACCTACCTGGCGGCCGTGAGGAAGGCCATTTCAGAAGGTCAGGATTTCTTCCAGAAAGATGGAACTTTTCTATCAACACTGGCAATTTGGTCTTCTTTTGTTTCGGCGGCACTGGGGTTTGAACGCGGGGCCTTGTGCTTGCCAGGCAGGCGCTTACAGTTTGAGCTACTTCCTTCGCCCTGGCGATTTGTATTAGGAAAGTGCAGGGATCTTGCTACGTTGAGACCTCGACCTCGTCCTATTTCTTGCTCTAGATGGGATGGGATGGATCTCTTGAACTGCAAAGAAAACACTTTTCCTTGCGTTCTGTGCTAGGGCAAAAGCCTTCTGTCTGGAGTTTTCTGTGCCTTTGAAGATACAGGTTCCAGCCTTGTCATGAGTGGGAGTGAGAGGCAGAGACCTAGTGTGGGAGGGTAGCAGCCCTTCTGCTTGCATGCCACTTCCAGTTTATCATCATGTGACTTGGACATTTTTGTTGAAAAGGTGTCACTTTTGGATGACATGTTTATAAGGAAATAGCCCTGCTTTCCCACTAGCCTTGCCTCTGGCTTTTTCCCTGCTTCTGTTTTGAAAATGGGAAAATTCCAGTCCTTCCTGCCAAGGCTAGTGACTTTAGTGGCCCCTAGTTAACAGTAGTGGGAGACATGCACTGGGATGGACACATGCCACAGATCCTCTTCCTCTTTTAGTGCTCTAGTTTTACCTCGCTGTGGGCAATGAGTGGGCTGTTTCTCTTCTGGTCTTTTGCCATTTGAGATCTACACCTGATATCAGCCAAGATGCTTGGAAAATGACGGGCCTCTTTAGCTGTGCCTCAGTGATCTTGGTGTGACTTGTACATTAATAGGTTCATTCTCCCCGTCCCATCTGATGATGTAGCTTCTTCTGTACTTTTACCCCAGGAGTAGGTTGCTCTAAGCCAATCAATATGACCCGGCCTCTTAATATGGTACAGTCCTGTTCATTTTGTGCTAAAATGACTGGTGTCAAAGCAAAAGGTGTCTTTCTGAAATGCCGGGGACCCGGACTAGTAATTTCTGTAGAGTTTGCTTCTCTTTGTTTTGCTATGATAGAAAAACATGTCATTCAAATGTGTGTGATTGCATTTCATTGCCCAAGGGAGCTGTGAGCTACCCAAACTTACGAAGAACTGAGACACACAGGTTGCTTTCTGGAAGGGTTTGTGTCACTGTAGCAGTCCATTACAATCTTGTGGGCAGGCCACTGTGACCCACTAACCAATCATTCATGGATGTATAGTCACTGTTCTGATACCTCACACTACAGATTGTTCTTTAAAATATTACAGTGGTGATAGTTTTAGAAAACATATAGTAAAGGGGGTGGGGTGTGCTCAGTGGCAGACATGCACACACACGTACAAAAAGATAGTAAAAAGGATTATTTTTTTGTGGTGGTGGTACTGGGGTTTGAACTCAGGACCTCATGTTTTCTAGGCTTGTCAGGCAGGCACTCTACCACTTGAGCCACTCTTGCCAGCCCTGCTTCCGACATGGGTCTCATAAACTATTTACCCAGGCTGGCTTCGAACTTTGATCCTCTTGGTCTCTGCCTCCCAAGTAGCTAGGATTACAGGCGTTAGCCACTGGTGCCTGGCAGTGGATTCTTTACTATAGTGTGGGTGCACCTGGATAAATTGACCTCTTTTTATATTTTACTTTTTAGACAGATCCTGTCCCAGTATGCTGTGAGCCTTTAACTTCAAGCATCTCAGAAAGAATGAACTATTTTACAGTGGTGTTTCTTCTCTGAAAACACCTCTTGTCAGAAAGAGATTATTTCAATGGGAGACTAAAATAAGTTGCCTAGTGGGAAATCCCTTGGTACATAGCCAGATGGAATTACAGGAAAGGAAAGAGGAGGACAGAAACTTAGATTGGATTAAAGGTAGTCACAGGTGGCCAGGTATACTTGGTTTGCTGCTGTACTACTTATATAAGTGCTTTTCAAACTTTGGGTGCTGGGAATCTTGTTGATCTGCGTGTTCTGACTCTGAAGTTCTGGGAAGGGCTCTGGAGCCTGCATTTCTAAGAAGCTCCCAAGACAGCTACTGGGGTCCAGATCTAAGCTCCCTCCACCTTCCTTGTCAGGGCAGTGGACATGCACCATTCCCTTAAATCTCCACTTTTGTGGAAGTAGTGGCAGCATTGCATTAGGACACTCAGCAGCTTAGATGTAAAATTAGGCCAGCGTTTGGTGGTTAGGCCATCCACCTTCAGGGTGGACCCCTGATCCCTCTTTCTTTAACATGTTCCCTTTGAGTTTACAATTTCGCAGCTTTGTAGTTGTAAGTAGTCCTGTCCTTGGGACGGTAGTACGACTGTCTCCTCCATCCATACTCTCTCCTTTAATAGGCTCTTTGATTATTGTTACTATTCCATTAAAACTGTTTTAGGTTTTGTTTCCCACATGTCTCTCCAAATTTGACAGCCTCCTTAAAATTAGAGTCTTCAGCATATTGGAGCAGCCAACTTATCTCCCAAGTTCTTCAACTGTAAAATGATGAGGTGGGACCAGATGATTTATTTGGAAGGCTTCCTCCAGCCCCCTGTGCTGGAGTACAGCTTGCTAAGAAAATGGTCAACTACCCAGAACCTTTCAACTGATTTGGCTCAGCTTCCAAACACGTCTGCAGTGATAGATGGCGGTGTGTAGAAGACAGTGCTATTGTTCTGAAGTTTTTGGACTTGCTGGGTGATTATTTTCAAATAAGGAAGTGAGAAAACCCCAGGTACAAACCAATAATTATTTCCTCTTTTTACTGGAGCTCTGTACTTTGCTGCAAATCTCACTGGAATATAAAAATAGATTCTATGAGACTGTGTGGGACAGGGCTCAGTGGGTGATCTTGAGCTTTATTTCAAAAGTTCTTGTCTGTGAGTGCGCATGTCTGGGTGGAGGGAAGATCTAAACCCACTTTCCCCACTTTTACTTAGTATTACAGTGGAGACCTTATCTGTTTGTTGTTGTTGTTTTTTTGGGGCAGGATTGGGGTTTGAATTCAGGGCTTCTCACCCCTTGAGCTACACATCCAGTCCCTATTTCTCTGGTTGTTTTGGAGATGGGGGTCTCGTGAACTATTTGCCTGGACTGGCCTTGAACCTTAATTCTCTTGAACACAGCCTCCCAAGTAGCTAGGATTACAGGTGTGAGCCACCATGCCCAGCCTTATCTGCTTCTTTATTTGCTATATTCCCTGCTTAACTCCCACATTCTTTGGCATGTCGTTTATGTTTTGGGAGCTCTGGTGATACTCAAAATGATAATGTGAGCTCCCATAGGACAATTTTAGGGAGATATGGCCACATCTGGCTTTCCTTTGTAAATAGTAATGTTCTAATCTTATTATTAAACTGGAATTTAAAAGAAAAACAATAGGAATATTTTAAAATGCTTTCATCTAATCAAGTAGATTCCAAAATCTTTCCCTAGGCTTATTTATTTGTTCATATTTTTCCAGTTGCATTGAGGTATAATTAACAAATAAAAAGTGAATATATTCCAGGCATGCAATAGGATTATTTGTAAATAAGTATGTGTTGTAAAATAATTATCATGACCAAATTAATTAATGCATCCATCACCACACATAGTTACCATTGTGACTTTGTATGTGTGTGTGTTGAGAAGTCTTTTTTTTTTTTTTTGGTGGTACTGGGGTTTGAACTCAGGGCCTTCAGCTTGATGCACTCCACCAGCCCTTTTTTGTGATTTTTTTTTTTTCAAGATAGGGTCTTCAGAACTCTTTTCCCCAGGCTGACTTTGAGCCACGATCCTCCTAATCTCTGCCTCCTGAGTAGCTAGGATTACAGGCGTGAGCAAGTTTCAAGTAGACAGTATGGTATCATTAACTATAGTCACCCCTAGAATTTATTCATTTTCTAACTGAAAGTGTCCATTTGATGGACATTTCTCTTCTTTCTCCTTCTCCCAGCTCTGATAATCACTACACTATTCTACTCTCTGCTTCTGTAGTTTGATTTTTTTTTTTTTTGGAGGTTTGAACTGTGGTTTGAACTCAGGGCTTCTTGCTGCTAAGTAGGTGTTCTACCACCTGCCCCACAGCCCTAGTCCTTTTTTTTTTTTTTTCTGGCTTCAGTTAGTTTTCTGATAGGGTCTTGAGTTTTCCCCCGATCTTCACCTCCCAAGTAGCTGGGATTACAAGTATGAGCCATCAAGCTTGGTCCGAATTTGACTGTTTTTTTAGATTCTGCATGTAAGATCATACAGTATTTGGCTTATGACACTTGGCAAAATGTCCTCTACTTTCATCCATGTTGCAAATGGCAGGATTTCCTACTGTTTTATGGCTGAATCATATTCCCTGATATAACTTTTCCTCAAATTTAGAAAGGAACATTCTTTCCAAAACAATGTATGTTCATCAAAATACTGAAAGTAAAACAAGAGTACCTGGGAATAGGAATTTCAAAAAGCCTCTGCCATTGGTACCTCTGGGAAGTCAGGTTTGGGCTCTGGTCTGAGCCTCATGTTCTATCCTTCAGTATTTTGGGTCCCAGGAGTCATCAGTGGCTTAAGCCCTGAGACCTATTACAGGCAGGTCCCTGGGGCTCAGAGCTTGGCCCTGGCACGTCACAGGCAGTGACATTTACAGAAGAGAAGGCAGTTAGACCCCTGTCAGCAAAGGGGAAGTCGTGCTCTGCTCAGTGTGGTAGCCTCGTGGATGGTGAGTTATGGACAACTTCTGGGGAGCTGAAGGGAAGGAGCCGGCCTTGGGCCTGTGGAGAAGTACAAGTTTTGTTGTCCTGTCCCCCTGCCTTGTGGCTGGAGGAGCTGGGCTCGCTCCTTCTCTGGGTGGGTTAGTCTGTCTGCAGCTGGCTCCTCTCTGCTTGCGCCTGCTTCCGTGTCCCTACTGCAGGCTGCTCTCTTCATCTCTTCCCCTTTGAAATGGTCTGTGGCTTGAGGGAGAAGATACCCAGCTGGATGGTGAAATCTTTTTGGGGTTGCTAAAAAGCTACTGTGTGTCCAGGAACCCTTTGGATTTCCCCTGCCAGG